AAAGCTGTTTTAACTGTCGCTCCCCAGCTAAAAACCACTTAAAATCAGATATATGCAGCTGCAGCTAAGTCTGCTAACCCTAATTCGGACTAGATTTTAGTCAATTCTGCTAAAAAGTCCTCACTGCTAAAGCTAGCTATAAAGAAGCCTCTTACTAGCCGCCGCGTGATCCTAATTAAGGATACTATAGTCTAAAACAACGATTTTCAGCCTCTCACCGCCTGTAATGCTCTAAATAGAGCTTTTGCTAGTAAAGGAGTAAAAGACCCTATAGTGCTTTTAGTGTCTAAGTCCCTTCAGGCCAATCTAGTGGTTATAACTATAGAGGCTTACTTAGCTGACTTCCTACTCGCTAAATCTGACATCTGGATGCATTTAATGCCAGGCTACACCGCCTAGAAAGATGTCACATGGCATAAAATCGTTGCCCACGGGATCCCCACTTCTATTTTCAACTATCCGGAAGGCATGGAGCTAGTTAAGGACGAAATACGGACTTTTAATAAGGGTCTAACCCCTTTAGGACAGCTATACTGGATCACATCAGCCGAAAATCGCCTAAAACAGATAGCTGGATCCGTGGCAATTGTATTTGCTACGCCTAAAGAGGCTAGCGCGGCCGTCTGAAATAGGCTATACATAGCTGGCATTTCCATATGATGCGAAAAACACTATACGACACGTCCTACCGCCTAATGCATTAGGTGCTAGGGCTATAGCTATTTAGAGCACTACTGCTGCAAAGAGGCTAAGTGCTAGCTATGCGGTGAAGCCTATTAGATGAAACAACACGTATGCTCTATATGCAATGCTAAGGGCAGGTGTGATCACCTGATATACAAATGCGCCAATTGTGGAGGTCTATATGCGGCTAGCTCCGCTTTATATGAAGTCTATTAGAGCATCCACTTAAAGGCTCCTACGTCCTCTCTATAATAGACGCTAGCACTAAAATCCTCCAAGTGAATCTAAATTTAGCCGCTCATAATATGGAATCCGCGCTATAAGTAGCAATTAAGCTAGATATAGATATTATACTAGTTTAAGAGCCTCTTATTATACGCGATTCAGATGGAATACGATCGATTTCCTACCCCTCATTCACCCAACTCTTCCCAAATAGGCCTAGCCTAGACATCACACCACGCATAATGGCTTATATTGCCAGGTCATACCGCCCTAAGGTCGTCCTAGCCTCGGATTCGCTAAACGACTCAGACTTCCAAGTCCTAGACGTTATAGATCAAGATCACGTGATTAAGATTTATAATATTTACAATGAAAAGCACTAATTACCCGATTCGGACACCTATACGCTAGCCCGATGCCTATAGCAGCTCTTACTGCCTCTTGATTCGGTCTTTTGCGGGGACTTTAATGCTTATAACCCGTGGTGGGACCCCCTATACGAGGCATGTGACAAAGAAGGTAATATGCTAGCAGACTGGATCGACTACCACGATTTAGCCCTCTTAAATACCCCTGGTATTGGCACCTTCCACCGCCCCCACATGCAGAGGCCAACGAATATCGACCTTACACTAGCGCATCGATCCATAGCCAATCACATTTAGGACTGGGCTATAGTGGATGATATAGGCTTAGACCATTTTAGGATCACATTCACTATTAACGGTTCCCGAATAGGACTAGCGGATCCATAAACCACCCGATTCGACATAAAACGGGCAGATTGGACCAAATTTAGGGAAAAACTTTTCTGCCAGCTGTCACCGCTCCAAAATGAGCTACAGGCCTATAGCTACATTTTAAGCTCCAATTCAAGCTTAAAAAGCTTAGAACAAATCAACGCAAAACGCAGCTACGAAGCAACCCTAGACCGTCTGGACGATATGGCGGAACGTTATACTAGCGCCATTTTATACGCTGCATACGATGCCATACCCCAAATCCGGTTAGCGCCACATGCTAAGCCTTGGTGGAACGATTCACTAAAATTACTTCGACGCGATATGAATCGGGCTAGAGAGGCCTCTAAGCGAGCATTTTCCAGCTAATTAAATAAGCGCTATACTAGCGCCTGCAACATATACTTTCAGGCTATCAAGACGGCTAAAAAGGATCACTGGAACCAGTTTTTGGAAAAAGAGGATTCTAAATCGATTTTTAAAGCCTTAGCCTATATGAAGTCAAGGCGGTTAGAGCTAGTCCTAAATCTGAAGCTTTCTGCTACCTATTTTGTAACCATATTTACTGCTAAATGCGACCTCTTCCGCTAGACGCTCTTCCCTCCACCTCCCGAAACAGCTAGCCCGAAGTGGACGTTATACACCGCCTTAGACCAGTGGCAATGGCTAAAGCTAGCACCAGATGAAGTGAAACAAGCCTGTTCTAGTGAAATCAAATCTACTAGCCCCGGCCTGGACTATATCACTCAGACCATTATTACCCACGCATTTTCAGTATGCCCTTCCCAGATTTCACTCCTTTTTAAGACGCTAGTAAACACTAGCTATCATCCGAAGTGCTGGCGCCAAGCGAATTGCGCTATACTGCGTAAAAACAACAAACTAGACTATAAGCAGCCTAGCGCCTATCAACCTATTTCACTCCTAAATTGCCTAGGAAAAGTCAGCAAAAGGATCCTAGCTAAGCGACTAGCTTACTTAGCCGAAACCACACTAAATCTGCTGCATCCTAGCCAAATCAGTGGCCGACTTAAAAAGTCAGCTATAGACGTAGGCGCTATGCTAGCGGATTATATCCATATAAATCGGCTACAAAACAAAATCACTAGTACGCTTCTACTAGACGTGAAAGGGGCATATAACCACATGTCTAAGAACCGGCTACTTATAATTCTTAAGGATTTAGCCTTTCCTGATTTGGTTATTAAGTGGGTCTTATCCTTTATAAGCAGGCGGTCACTTAAGCTTCTATTTAACGGATAATCGGATGAAAACCAGCCTATTCAGACCGGAATCCTATAAGGAAGCCCTATTTCGCCTATCCTTTTCTTAATCTATATACAAGGCCTATTTAGGTCACGTGCAGTTAAATTTATCTCTTATATAGATGATATTACTCTCTCTTTCGCATTAACTAGCCCCTATAAAAACGTTAAGATACTATAGCTAGTAGCTAAAGAGCTCTTTTAGCTAGCTAGTAAAAACGTAATCTAATTTAACCTAAAAAAGTCTAAACTAATTTACTTTAGCATAGGCAAACGCGCTAAGCTAGCGTCCCTTATACTCCTAGATGGGACTATAGTCCCCCTAAAGTAGATAGTTAAGTGGCTTGGTATTTACTTTAACGCCCTATTACGATTTAAGGAGCATATCACTATCTGCACTACTAAGGCTAAGTCCGCATTCGGACGTATGTCTAGGCTGGCTAATAGCAAATAAGGGCTTAGTCCTACTGCTTTTAGATAGCTATACCTGGCTTATATTACTAGTATATCCAACTATGCGTTACTAATTTAGTGGCGAGGTTAAGCATATGTAAAAGACCACCTATAGCACCTCTAAAATTTAGCACTACGTAAAATCCTAGGCACTTTTCAAACTAGTCCAATTTAGGCCATGGAAGTCGAAGCTAGCCTCCCACTGCCTGCAATACAACTAGATACAGCCACCCGTAAATACGCTTTCCAGCTAGCTAAGCTAAGTCCGGACTATCTAGTGAATCGCTAAATTGCTAAATCCAGCTATTTATCCGGATACGGACTTTAGATAATTGCTAGGACTATTACACCCCTGCTTAGCGGCAAAATCGAACCTATATACCACTTCCACTTTGCCCCTTAGAACCGCTCTATCCCCTAGGACACATGAATCGCTAAATTGCTAAAAGAGGAAACTGCCACGATACACCGCTGGCAAATACGGTCACAATTGCTAAATCAGGTGTTATACTACTTAGACGGGTCGCAAATGCCTAAAAGCACCGGAATTGGAGTGGGACTAGCGGGCTATAAATGCGCTAGTCGCCCTTTTATATAACTAGCCCGAAATATAGGTCCGCACCAAATCGTCTATAATAGAGAGCTAGAAGGCATTGCCCTAGCATTTAAAGATGCGACGAGACTAGGCCTAAATAGGGATATTTGGATATACGCAGACAACCAAGCAGCCATTTATAGGCTAGCGCGGCCTTCCAATAATCCGGGCCAAATTCACTAGTTACGCGCTATTACAGCCGCCACTAAAATAGCCTAAAACGGATCCACGCTAGCAATAGAGTGGGTCCCCGGATACCAAGACATTAATAGAAATGAAGAGGCGGACAAACTGGCTAAATTAGGGTCCAAATCACTTCCGACCACCCAGACCGCCCTGGCTGCCCATACAAGCTATGCCTATATAGGCATAAAAATCAACCAAATCCGACGGCATGCGTGGGCGAATGCTCTAGCTAGCGGCAAAGGCCACTACTTTGACTTTTTCAACCCACGAATTCACTCTCGAATACAGCTTCCCAAAACGGCTAGATCCACTGCTAGCGCCTTTTTCCAGCTTAAGCTACGACATGGCTACTTTAGGACGTACCTAAAACGATTTAATAAAACACCCACCAATCACTGCATATGTAGTTACAAGCCTGAATCACCACAGCATCTTATACTACGATGCCCCGAATACAGTGAAGAACGCAAAAGACTGAAAGACAGTGTCCCATTTAGGCTTAGCCTACGCTCCCTCTTTGAGACGAAAATCGGACGCTAGCATCTACTGACCTTCTTGGGTGAAACGGGTATCAGTACCCGCAAATAGCGGCTTGAACAGGCAGAATTCGATGATGACTAAGCATATACTACGGTATACGGCTTAGAAGTCTCACCGCCCACTCCCACCAACCAAATCCATCGATTTTTCCCAATTTCGGCCC